ACATGGATATCTAAGGGTTTCTAAGGCCATGGTGGGCCGAAGGCTGCAGGGCCATTATCTCATTGTCTTTCCTCCAAGACCTGCTTCCATCCAGCATTCCCTGTTGTCCACCCGATGCGCAGGATGAGGCCATGGGACCAAGGGCCTGGTTGGGACGCCTCCACGCAGAGTGGCTGCCCGGCCGGGCCTCACCCTCCCGCAGCTCCGGAGCCGGCTCCAGGCGTCCCCTCCAGACGCCTCTCATTGGTGACCTGCTCGCTTCCCACTGAGATCCCCTCCCTCCCGGCTGCCCTTTCTCTCCTCTTGGTGCTTTTGCTCCTCCTGCTCCTTAAATGTCCCTTCTGTCCCCAGCCTTCTCTGTTCCGTGGAATGAGCTCCCACTTCGTCCCGCTGACTCCCTGCCCCACAGCCTCTGGGTGTCCAGGCCCACAGCCACTGCCCTGTCTGTCCCCCAGGACTCACGCTCATCATGGGGGTCTGAGCAGAGATGGGCGGCCACCACTTCCTGCAGAGCTGTGTCTCTTCTGGGGCCGGTTCCCTCCCTGTCCTGCACGGCCCACTCCCTGCTGGAGAGACATCCTCTTGCTCCTCCCGGCCTGCGTCCTGAGTCCCTTCCCACTCCTTCTCCTCCCACCGCCACTGCCTAGAGTTGGGGCCTTGACGACTGGAGCAGCCTCTTCTCTGTTCTCCTGTCTCTGGTCCCTACCTGCTACCCTCCCCCAACCACACCACCCATCCATCACTAGGGCCAAAGTCATCGTTCTAAAATAGGCCTGGGCCTCTACTTCCCGCTGAAAACCCTCTTCTCCATACCTGCCATGGTTCCCTGACATCTGCAGGTCAGATCGGAACCCCTCAGCAGCACCGTCAGGGCCTTTCTGAGCTGACCTTTGCCCTCCCTTCCCATTCTGACTCTCACTGCTCAGTTCACACACCTGGCCCTTTCATTGCAGTGGCCAGCTGGCCACTCCCCAGGAGGTACCCAGTTCAGGCCTTCTCACCCTTGAAGGCTTGTTTCCTCTACCTAGAGCCCCTTTCTTTCTTCTCCCCCCAGCACACTCCTCCTCCTCTTCCAAGGTTTGGGCTAACTCTCCCTTCCTTCACCGTGATTCCCCTGCCCCAGTGCAGCCAAGACCAAGCCCCTGTGGCCAGGGCTGCAGCCGGTTCCACCTGGTGTGGTCAGGGCCGGTGGCAGGACTGCTGGGGATGGGCAGGCCCAGTGCTTGCTGGGGACAACACCGACAAATCTCCTGTTTGCTGACTGGCTCCTCCGCCTTATCTCCCCCGTAACGTTCACGGAGAATTTATTTACATCAGAAGGAGACAAACTCTGCCTCGGATGTCAGACTTCACGGCCTTCTTCCAGCGAGATAGCCAGGGCGGAAACTCCGTGCAGCCTGATAAAACCAGCAAACAGCCACACTACACCGCATGTGTCACCAAGCAAGGGCCGTCTCGTCTCCCCTCCCTCCCTGGGGCTGGGCATCCGGCCTGGGGGAGCAGGGGAGGAAGGGGGAGGAGGAGGAGAGCAGGACCTCGGCTCCCCTGCTCAACATCTAAGGCCCTTCCCAGTCCAACCCTTGCCTTCCTGCCCAGCCCAGCTCTGTCGTCTCCACCTGTCCCTTCAGAGGCTCTGCCTGGGAAGTCCCTCAGCACGCCACACCCCCCGACTTCCACAATTCTTGCTGTTTCTCCGCCAAAGACGCCCTCTCCCCTGAGGCTCAGCAGGCAGACAGCCCTCGGTCAGTGGCTCTTGCCAGCTCAGTGTTCAAAACGCAGCCAGACTGCGTCTCTCTGTCACCACCTGGTCCAAGCCACCATTGGTGCTTACCTGGATTATCGTGGCAGTCTCAAGAGGCCCCCAGCTTACCCTGTTCGTTTCATTGTCTACACGGCAGCCAGAGGGATCCTGTTAACACAAATGAGATCGTGTCGTCCTCTGCCCAGCACCCTCCACTGGCCTCTCATCTCACTCAGAGTAAAGGTCCACATCCTTACAGCGGCCTCTAAGGCCCTCCGTGGTCTGCCCCAACTGACCTTTGTGACTCTCCCCGTTCCCAGTGTTCCAGCCCCTTGGGTCTCTTGATGCTCTTCCGCAGTCCAGCCTCTGCACCCCATGGCCTTTGTGTTTACTGTTCCGTCTGCCCAGAATGCTCTTCCCTCCCCCAGATAACTACATGGCTCCTTCTCTCACTCTTTCAAGTCTTGGCTCAAATGCCTTTACTGACCACCCTTTCTGAAATGTCCACACCCTGCTGCCAACACGGGGTGCACTGTGTCCCCCTCCACACCGCTCACCACCTCATTTGCTGTAGAGTTTACTTATTTATCTTGGAATCGTCTTTATCCCTCTGAGCAGAGTGTAAGTTCTGCGAGGACAGGGATGCTTGTTTGTTTTATTCACAGCTGAATCCCCGGCACCTAGAACAGTGGGCAACACATAGTAGGTGCTCAGTAAGCATTTGTTGAATGAATGAATGAATGAATGAATGAATGAATGAATGAATGTCTAAACAAAAATGTTATCTCATCTGTGAAGCCTTCCCCACCTCCCACGTGCTATCACTGTGCCCTCAGCACCTCCGTTATGACAATTCCACGTTGCCACGACTGGTTCGCCTGCCCGTCCCTTCTCTGAGAAGCAGGTGAGGGCAGGGATCACATCAAGCGTTTCATAACGTAGTGCTGGCCCAGCCCAGTGTTTGGCACACAGTAGGTGCTCAGTTAATGGCTATGGGAGGGAAGCATTCGTGGGCACCTACTGTGGGTAGGCCCTTGCATTTCTGTGCTCAGACATGCCTAACAGCTGGCATTTGGAAGTGCACTCATGGTTCTCTTGACTCTGTAGAATGATATTAGTAAGACTTGTTCAGAGCCACTACACAAAATCACTCTCTCTCTAGCCCTGATGGCTCCTATGTATCTGCTAATCTGATCTCACCATTGGACACATCGGACAGCTCTCTGTGTCCAGAACTGAACTCCTAGTTGCCTTCCACCCCTGGCTTCCCTGCCCTAGGAAATAGCACCTTTCATCCATGCAGCTGCTTATGCCAGAAACTGGATTTCAGACCTCCCAGTCACTAAGTGCTGTAGATTCTGCTTCCTAAATATCTCTCAAATAAGTCCCCTTCCCACCTCCCCGCGTGCTTAGCTCAATCTCATCTAGCCTCACCTGGATTTGGGGGCTGTGTCTGCCAAGAGTGTCCTGCTTGCTTCCTGACTCAGCTCTCCGCTGTGCTATGGCCAGGGTGTTCTCCCTAAAATGCAAGTCGAATCCTATTTCTCACTACCTCTGATCCCTAAGATGAAGTGGAAGGAAAAGGAGAACTGAGCGCTAGTCGGGCATCTGCCATATGCCAGTCCCTGGCTAATGCTGAGTTCTGTCACGTTTATTTTCCTGTTCAGTTACCACAACAAGCCAATATGCAGAGAAACAGACTGAGGCTTAGAGAAAGAGATTGCCCAAGGTCATGTACGTGCCTGGGGAACTATGGAGCCTATATTCAATTCTAGACCTTCCTAACACTAAAGTCCATTTCCTCTCCATTACACTTTCCCGCTTCCAGTCTTTTTAGCCCGGTGTTCTTTGCCATGTGTCCCCTTTTACATTACCGTCACCATCATACACTATTTCTCTCTGTTCACCCTGTCATGAGCCATCTCAAGCTATTTATCTGAGACATGGCCTTGCATGCCCATACTTCTGTGGTTCCCTTTTCCCTGAAATGCTCTTCCCTTTCTTCTCTGCCTAGTGAGCTCCTATTCATCCCTCAAAACTCAGTTCTAATGGAACTTCCTCTGTTAAGCTTTCCTGATTGACTTATCCAAGCAAAGTTATTTGCTGCTCTATGTCCTCAAAGTGTGAGTTGTACTCTTGGGAGCCAGAAGAGTGTATTGGCTAAGAGCATAGACCCTCCAGGGCTTTGAATTTCAGTTCCTTCAACTATGGGCTGTGTCATCTTTGGCAAGTGACTGAATCTCTTTGTGCCTCAGTTTCCTCACCTGTAAAATGGGAAAAGTACTGCATAAGGTCATAGTTAGAATTAAATGAAATATGCAGAATACTTAGAATAGTGCCTGATATAGTATAAGTACTCAATAAATATTAGCTTTCATTATTGTTACCTTGCTGCATCTGGTATACAGTTGAACACCGACATTGCATTTTTCCCTTCTTTATAAAATTTAGTTCTTATCTCTAATACAGCATATGCTACACATGGCTGCGGGAGGGAGCAGAGAGGAGAGAGCAGTTACTAGAGCTCCAGGGAATCAGGCATCACCAAGAGGCTTGAGTTTTACCCTGGGGACTGGTGTTGAGTTTTGTTTTGTTGCATCACATCTGAAGTTTACTAAGATCTGGTGGGAAGAAATCCTATTCACTAAACTAGTGACCATGGAAATCCACATGACAGCTGATCTCTTCCTGGTCATTGCAGACCACTGTGGTGTAGTGGTTAAGAGTGTCCTCTACGGGGACAGAGTTCACCACTCATTAGCTGTGTGACCTAGGGCAGATCACTTAACCTCCCTGTGCCTTGGTTTCCTTTCTCTGTTACATGCGAACAATAATATCTAAAATTCTTACCACAGTGCCTGGCACATGGTAAGGGCTATGGAAGTGTTTGGTGTCATCATGATTAGGCCAGTTCTGACCAGGATCTTGTCTGAACTGTCTGTGCATCATGTTCCAGGACCCTCCCTGCCTTTTGTGGGTGAAGCCCACGGTGAGTTCTCGGGCCTGGAAACCAGACCACTCATGTGAACCTCTTGTCTCTGTGCCCGCAGCGGACGATGCCTGTGGTGGGACCCTGCGGGGCCAGAGTGGCATCATCTCCAGCCCCCACTTCCCCTCGGAGTACCACAACAACGCCGACTGCACGTGGACCATCCTGGCCGAGCTGGGAGACACCATCGCCCTGGTCTTTATTGACTTCCAGCTGGAGGATGGGTACGACTTTCTGGAAGTCACGGGGACCGAAGGCTCCTCCCTCTGGTAAGCACACTGTCCCCACCTCCTTCCTTCCCTCCCCTGTTCTCTGCACCTGTGAATTTCCTGAATGTACACAATCTCTTTAGTGCCTGGTCCTACATCCAGGGGCCTCTTTGCCACTTCCCTGCACCTACTGTTGGAGCCTTTTCATCCCATGATGATGAGAAATCACTGCTTATTTTTAGAGCTGGGGTAAATTTTTACAGTGATTTTGATATTTGATTTGAAGCATGTTCTTTCTGAAGAATTTCATGATGGGCCTTGGTTGAATAACTTGCATTAAGACTAAAAATGTCCTGGTCTCAGGATGTGGACAGGATCCAGGAAAATGATTTGAAATATTGTTCCATTTCTGGAAGACATATGCGTCGTATCCAACAAGGGGACTGGAACCGTAAGTGGCAATTGCTTTTCCCACTCCCAGGGTCCTGCACCAGTGGAAAGGCATCATTTCTCAGTGTCTGAAGGGAAGGACTAACTTCCCCCCTCTTGTTCTGGCTTTGCTGAGAAGTGTGGGCTCTTCTCTGGTGTGCTCCACGGAGGTTCTCAGATGCTGGTGGGTTAGGGAGGAGATGACTGAAGACATACCAGCCTTTGTTGCTTGCTTCCCAGACTTGGGCTCATGGGATGGGCTCAAGTTGGGGTTGGGGGGGGGAGGTCACTTAGGGAAGCATCCAGCTTTCTGTTTGGATGACAAGCATCACAATGGCGTTGTGGCATTTGGAATCTTCTCTTGTATTCTCATCATGGCTGTGTTATCAGGATGAGGGCATCAGGAGACCTCTGTCAGCACACCAGGAACCAGCAGAAGGATGTGTTCTGATGCACTTCAGGCTAGGATGGGTCATGATTGCAGCCTTAGTTGCTGTGTGGTGCCAGGGGGCGGCAGGGCTCAGTGCGCAGGGATGGAAGGCGGAGGAGGTATCCCCAAGGATTCTGAGTGGAGCAGCAAGTGGGTGGCTGCAAAAGTCAGGGAAGGACAGTGACTAGGACAGACAGAAACATGGCAGTCAGGGGAGTGGGGAGGAGGGGAGGGAAGGGAAATAGGAGGAGGAGGCACGTTTGCTGCATACCTCCTCTGTGCCAGGTCTCGTGGTGGTAGAGACACCAGTTGACTCAGACATGGTTCTTCGAGGAGCTCATTGTCTGTTAGGTGAGAAAATCAGATAAATTCACGGTAGGAGCCAAGTGTGACTATTTATGAGGGATGGGAGTAGACTCCTCCAAAATACTAACTCAGATTTGGGAGCCATTGTAACCAGAAAACTCAAGCGTCCTGGTGCACTGGGAGGCCAGCTGACCTGGGAGTTAGGACACCATGGCGTCTTGAGCTTGTCGTGTGGACCCGGCCAGGTCATTTCCTCCCCTGGTTGGAGGGTTGAGAGGGGCACATGTGAGCAAAGGCATTAAACCCCCGGGTGGATGCTGATGTTCTGTAAACTGGTCCAGCAGCAACAGCTGGCGATTATGAGCAGGGAGTTGAGTTGAATGTCTAGATGAGCCTTCGCTGAACTGGAATTTCAATGACCTGCCCAGCCCTGAAGACCCTTGTGTTCCCCGCCTCTTTTTTCTAAAAATACCTGTTTTGTTGATTGTAAATGTTATGCTCCTTGTAGGAAACATGGAAAATATACAAAGGTACAGAGATATAATTTACAATTTTTACAATTTTGATGTACCCCCCTTTGACCTTTTTTGCTTGGTCTAGACCAAACTAGGTGGCTATTTATACGTATTTTAATATTCCCAAGTTAGGATCTTAATATATCTGTAGTCACATATTTTTAGCTTAACATTGTGTCATGAAAATTTTTCCTGTATCATGACAGACGCCTCCAAAATATAAAATGTGTGATCCTTGTGCGATTTGTTGAGCATTTTCTACCAATATGCACCAGGCCAGTTCTAAGCTCTTCAGAGCTGTAGTTTCATTTCATCTTGATAATAACTCTATGACGTAGGTAGCGTCATTTTCCTCCTTTTACAGATGAGGGAGATGAGGCCCAGAGGTCATGCGACTTGTTGAGGTCACACAGCTAGAAAGGAGCAGAGCTGGGATCCAGCCCTGGCTTAATGAGATTCCTGAGCCTGTCTTCCAAGCCAGGACAGCACGCTGTGACGCACTACCTCTGGATGGCTTTTCCTGGCTGTGTAGCAATCCCTTGTAAGACGGGGGCATGGTTGACTTGCCAGATCTCTTGTTAAGTTGCTCCCAAGTTTTCACCTCTATAAACAGGTGCCAAGACGAGCATCCTTGCCTGGTCCCCCTCCTCCAGCCCGAGGCCTCAGCGACTCACTTGTTTATCCGTGGGCCAAACGGTCTCCTGCAGCATCTGCCCCCCTAGGTGTGAGCCTACACGTTGTCCAAACTTCTGGAGTGAAACCAATCTGAAGGAGTATTCCTTTTTCTATTAAGTCACTCAGTGGGGAAGGAATTAAGCGGAGGAAATGGTTAGGGGAGTCATTCAGAACCCTTTGCTATAAGATTAAATTATAATTATTTACAGGGTTGGTGTCACCATGGCGAGGCAGGATGCATTTGTTGTTCTAATTTATACTTGCATAGCAATTACGGAAAAACAAACTCGGAGGCTCTGGACGTATGTGTGGGAAGAATCAGCTCTCCCCCTCGCCCCTCTCCTTTATGTATCCCCGGATTCCTGTAAAAATCCAATGCTGCTGGTTTATGAGTATCCTGCTTTTGTAAGCATACATTAAGATTTCAGGCTGTTCTCTCGAGTTCTGTGCCAAGGCACAGAAAGACAACAGATCTTGTTAGAAAAGATGGATTTGAACAACCAGGCATCCCTTCACCTGTTGAGAAGACAGGAACTCCTTTGAGAGAGAGAAAAAAAAAAATCCACTATCTCCCTTACCAAATAGTAAGTTCCCACTGCTTCAGAAGGGAGGTGGCATGCAATGTCCCTGACTCAATTTCCATATTCTTCTCCTCCCCCACATGGTGATAACAACAAGAGAGTTTCAATTAGAGGCTCCAGTTATTTGGATTTCGTGGGCTAGTAAAATTCCCAAACAATTGGAGAAACACAAGATTGGTAATTTTTTTTTTATTTTGCCAAGAAAGGATGTTAGAAGAAAACCTGCCAACTCTTCAAGATATGATTTCATAAAACGGACAATTCAAAGCCAAAATATGGCAGGAGATGATGAACTGGTGACCTTGTGCTGGCATCATGAAAGATGAGGGCGGGGGGCACACACAATGCCCAGCGAGGTCAGCAGTGTGCTCATCAGTCAGTGGACCAATGCCTCCTGCTTTGCTGGTCCATGACCAACCTTTGGGGATTCAGCAATACATGTTTTGAACAGGAAAAGGCTGTTACTATGGTGAACACTGAACCCTGTGGCTCTGACATGTTGAGAGATTCCCTAGTATTTTAGACTTGCTCTCCCTGAAGGTGATTGCTCTGTGTGTGTGTGTGTGTGTGTGTGTGTGTGTGTGTGTGTGTGTGTGTGTGTGTGTGATTGCCCATGAAAAAAAGCTGGGCTTGGGATGGCTGAGGGTTACAGTGCAGATGGTAGATCTGGTCTTGCTCCCCAGTTACATGCACACCACACACAGCCAAGCGACCTCTGACACACACCCCTGCAAGTCACAGCCAAATACACATGCCAAAGTCATCACCCCAGGTCCTCTCATACACACGCACACAGAAGTCTGTGCCCTCTACCCCCCATGCACACTTAGATACCCAGTTCACCGAACTCAGCTCAGGGGCCAGATTTCCTCTCACTGACCCTTCTGGGGGGCAGGGTGTCTTTCCTGGCTCTTCTCTGACCCAGCCAGTTGACTGCGACCATCATGGCGCCCCATCCCTTCCCATCACATTCTAGGAAAATGCTCTCACCACTGCTTAAGTTCCCCATGAGGACTCTCGAGTTTTTCAGAGGGCTAGGATGGGGGATGCAGAAGACCCCTTTGATTCTTGGGGAGCTGGCTTCCTGCAGGACATCAGGATCATGTCCTCTTGAGCAGAAATGATTACCAGGCCACCACAGAGCTGGCTTCCCCATTGATGGAGAAAATCAGTGAAGTGAAGGTCACCAAGAAGCCACTAGACCTGAAATATCTTTCCTCCTTCCTCTGCATCATGCTCAACACCCCTGAGTCTCTCCAGAATCCTCCCTAGGCTACAAGAAAGGAGGGAAAGCCAGGTGTCCCCTCCAAGAATATGAGAGAGGAGGTTTGTGCCGTTTACCCGAGTTTAGACATTGAGCCTGCATCTTGGCATCTAACTGGGGAGAAAGCAGGCTTGGAACTCAGACAGGCTTGGGCTCAAAATCTTGATCCACCTCTTAGTAGTTGTTTCATCTTAGGAGATTTACTAACCTCTCTGAACCTCAGTTTCCACATCTGAAAAATGGGGCTCATCCTACCAACCTGCAAAGTATGTTGGGAGGGCTAAGCATGTATAGTGCTGCCTGGCCCACCCTAGCTAGGTATGGACTCTTGGGAGGGGGACCAGAGTCAGGGGCTCTCTCTTTGATGGGAAAATGATAGGATGAGGCCTCTCCAGCAAGTCAGAGGCTCATTGGTCTCATTCTGGGTGGTCCCACTGAGGCCATCACCCCAGCCTTCCAGCCCAGTGGCAATTCACCAGGCCAGAAAGGCACAGCTGGGCTGCCCCAACTAATCCAGCTTCCAGGGGAATTACCTGGAAACCCAGGTGAGGTTGGCTTGTAGAGAGTCCCTGGGTCCGACCAGAGGACCCTTGCAAAGGTCTGGAGCCGGCACGGTGATTTTGTTGCAACTGCCTTCCCAGAGCTGCACTTTGCGAGCACATCGTGGGAGCATCACTTCTCTGCCCGGCCCCGGCCCCGGCCCCAGACTTACCAGTTAGCTGCTTTGCTGGATACGTATAAGGAGATTCTGCTAATTCAGCCACCACCAGGTGCTCTGTCAGAGGACTCCACAGTGAGTCAGGCACAGCGCCCAACCCAAGGAGCAGGGGAAGAGGGACAGAGGGAACAAGCAGCATTCTAGGAGACAGTGTCACCAGACAGAGAGTGGAGGGGTGCTGGGCCTGGGCCCCCTTCTCGTCTCTGTCTGTGTGGCTGGGGGGGGGGTTCTGTTGGCCTTCTTCTCTCCTTCTATGTCCCCCACCCCCTGTGGCAGTTTCTCCCTACGACAGGGAAGGCAGAGCCAGGGTCTGACCTGCACTCAGAATCAGAGCCCCCCGTCCTAGGAACCAGTGGCAGTGCCAGCCTTTTGAGCGTGTGTGCATGCCTGGGGGAGCCCACGGCTCCTTCCCACTTGTGGCATTTCTGTGTAGACTGTGGAATCCCCCCATTTCTTTTGTTTTGACTCTGTGGCCAGTGCCTGTGGGTCACTCTCGGCCTCACTTCCTGGCCCTCTTCCCTACACTTGCTTTTCCTTTTCCAGTTGTTTCATTCTGATCCCTGAGCCTCTGCCTGCCCATTCTCTATGTCCCCACACTCCCAGGCCCGGTCCTCACCGGCCTGCATGTGACAGACTCGCTTCCACCAAACACTTGAGGGAGCAGAAGCGAGGAGAGCACTGTCCTCTGAGCCTCTCCAGGGCTCAGAGGACACTGTCCAGGGCAGGAGAACAAGGCCTCGAGGCTGCACCGAGACCTTCTGCCCCCGAAGGGTGGGTGCCTTTCGATCTAGGAGACGGAGGGGAGGAAGGAGGGCCTTCTTCCAGGGCTTCTGCCTCGTCCTCCTGTTCAATGTGCAGGTGCTCCCGGATCCCTGGGACACAGGCCCAAGAGGAAGTGGTCCCAGGAATTCTCTAGGGAGGATGTTCCCCACCTGCACCCTCCCTGGGGCTCCGGCGTCCATCTCTGAGCCTGGGCTGCTCCCTCCACCTGGCGAGGAATGGAAGAACACCTGCCCAGCAGCCTGGGCTTCCCAGGTCCTGGTCCTGCCTGGGAAGACTTGGGCTGGCTTGGGAGAGAGAATTTCCCTGGAAGGCAGCCTCACTCACCTACTCTCTGGGTCCAGCAACCAACCCTTTTGAGTTTCATCATTCAATTTCCTCAACTCAGCACCTCCTTTTTACCTCATGAGAGCCACGAGGGACTTTCTTCACCTTGTTCCCCTCTCTTTGTTTGTTTTTGTTCTTATGGGTCAGGATATAAAAACTTCTGTCTACTCTGCGGACACTCAGTTTGCAAATTTTGCTAACAATACTCTTTCTCCCCTCGAAAGACCTTGTTTTAATTATTAGGCATTTTACACGTGGAATTCGAGCCAACTAGAACCATTTGATCTCAGCAACTTTTAACTAGATACTTCATTCAGGAACCATTAGATTCAGATGTAGTTAGAATGAGAACAGCATGCCAGTGGGGATTTGTTAATAATAACTATTCATTTATTTATTTATGCACGTACACTTTATCAAACCATTGGTTTAGATTATGAATGTTCTTTATTACTTTTCCCCTATTTATTTTCTGCAATCATTTATTGAGACCCTTCCATGAACTAGCCTCTCCTAGGTGCTAGAGAGACAAAGACACAGTCTGGGATCCCGAGGAGTTATTTATTCGCTCTGCAAATGTTTATGTAATAGCCATGCGCCAAGCTGCACCCTGGAGCTCCCAGGCAGGGCAGAGAGGTAGAATATAATTAAATGCTTTACAATATCATGTGTTAGGTACTTTGCTATGAGATACTAAGAAGTTCCCCTGGGGACTGAAAATAGCATGTAATCGCCAGGATTCTTTTGGTTTAAGAAATAGAAACCCACCTCCTGCTGACTCAAGTTACAGAGGGAACGTGTGGCCTCTGTGACTGAGACGTCCAGATTTGACTTCAGGCAGTGCTGGATCAAGGTGCACACATGATGTTTCTCTCACTCCCAGGCTTCGAACTCTTATGTGTCAGCTTCATTCTCATCTCATTCTTCATTTCCCCGGGGGTGGCAAAGGTGACCACCATCAGCTCTCCATAGCCTACCTGTTTACAAATCCTGGCAGA